TCCTATTAATTATCTCCAGTTGGGCAGAGATTGCCTTGCCTTGTGGCAAACCAAAACTTCATTTGCATCTGTAATTTTAAAATAAAATAGCATGTAACTAATACATAAGAACCAAAATATTCAGGTCTCATACTGGGTCTTTTAAGAAATGCATATTTTCAAAAAGACCAGAGGCTATTGTCGCTTTAGACGGGTTTTAAATAGTTTGATCTGTAGTTGAAAATTGTCTCCCATGGAAAATACTAAAGTAAGGAAGATTCAAGATTTAGAAATTCTGGAACAAGTTAAGAGTAGATTCTTAAAATGGCTCAAAATATACTATTAATATTGTTATTTGTTGGTCCAAAATTTCACATCACATTCTTGCTTATGTTAAATTGTTGAAAACGATTTATTTGAAATGAAAAGGAATTGTTGTACAAAACGGCACCACCGCTAGTAAGAATTTTGCTAAAAATGCCGAGATCAAAAGACCCCAGCCGTCGCAGTGAGCCTGGTGATCGCTTGCTATATTCATGAACTTGTCATCGCACCGATCTATTTATTGTAAGAGAGAAATTTGATTTGCCGTGGAATGAGGTTTCTGAAAATTATCATCGTGGTGTCTTGAGCAATATTTGTGCTTTATAAATTATATGTAAAATACCCTTTACTAACTGCATGAAACGTGTATTTGGATTTCTCCCTTGGTGCCTGAAAGTCTGTGCTCTGCGACTGGAAATGAATAATAGCCCTGGTGTAGGTGGATATAATACAAATGGATGTTAGCGGGTTTGAGTTTAACCAAGCTCTGGTTGGCAGCTTCCTCGGCTGGTTTTGCGTGCCAAGACTACAGATCCAAGCGGCTTTTAGTCTCAATTCTTTAATGAGCGTCAGCCGTACATAAGCGAGTACGCCCAGGCAGATGGTGACGGCGAGCCGCAGTTCTCCCAACCTTGTATGGAATGAATTTTAATACTTTTTAATTGAAAAAGCGACAGCACCACATAAAATTCGTTTTGCGAGACTGGTTTTAAGCTCCTAAGCACGCTGTTAACATTTATGAAGGAAACGTTTATAGACAGAAATATAAGGAACAATGACATGTAGTTAAAACCCAAACGTAAATAAAATTTTATTCAGCAAGAGGAAATCAAATGGTAGTATGAATAAAAATCTGATGAGCTGCTGTTTCTTCTTTGAACATATTTTATTTTATGTGTCTTGGAAAAAAAGAGATATAATTCAATATTTTATAAACTATATTTAAATTATACAATGATAAATTCCCTAGATTCCTACTTTTATTATTATTATTATTTTTTCAGTTTTAACAAAAATTAAAGATTTAAATGTGATATAATTAATAGAAAATAAATAAAAAAGTAATAAAAATAATTTATTTGTCATAACAAAAACAAATATTTTACTAAAACAAAAATTTTACTTTAAAAAATTATTATTTATTTTTAAACTAAGATTATGATATTTTTCTCCCAGTTACCCTAATGCGGAATCGAACACAGAATAGACTCTGAAATATTTTTATCCAGATCGTCTAACAATAAATATCAATGAAAATTATATGTGCAGAGAGAAATCAAGGCTAATCTCGTTTTCAAAGTTTATAGTTTTCCCAAAGGTTTGCGCTTCTGCAAATTCTAACGTCTTGCAAACTTATCAATGTTGAACGAGGTGAGCTGCAAACTTTGTCGTTTCACACCAGTAAGTTCAGTATAAATCTCTTAAATGGATTTCACTCTTCTTACAAAGGCAAAGTACCAAACAGGATAGAGCTCGTTTATCCGGAAGCTCTCCTCTTGAGTTTCGAGACTTTTCTCGCCTTATGTCCTTTTACTAAGCTCGCATCCATTTCGCGGATCTCCATTCTTCTAGTTTGCAGAAGCGAGACTACTAGCCAAAGTCGAAAAGCATCCTCCACATTTGCAAGTTTATTGACTCACTGTAGAGCAGCATTCGGTCTGCAAAGTATGCGTATATAAAGCGATTTTTTCAAAGAGACAATTTCATTCAAAGCCACGAGTGACGTACAAAATTCGCGGATTTGTCATTTCCATATTTTTTTTATTCCTCAAAACATGTCACCTGCTGCTTGATCTGTATTTTTCCCACTTTTGATTTTATTGGTTTGCTAATACTTTGGTCAATGAAAATCGAACCACAGCATTTGGCAAAAACCTGATCCCATGTAAAAGCGGATGAAAGTACCCATTGATTTAATATTTATTCTTGTAACAAGCACTTCCGGGAGAATAAAGAATGAAACAATAAAATTTCATTTCATTTATTGTACGTACCCAGCGATCCAGATAAATGAATAAATTGAAAATTCCGACTTGGTAATTTTAATTAAACAACGCTTAATCATTCAGAAATTTCAATTAATACTCTCCAAAGGCTTGAGTGCATGAGGCTTGAATCTGATAGGTATGCGGCAAATTGATTAAAATCGACTGATATATTTTCCGCGATTTGCCAATAAATGCCTCTAGGGACGAGGAGCCGAAATGTGGGCTCGCGGTTGATTATTGATGGAGCGCAGATTCAGCAGAGATGATTGATTGTCGAGACCCGTTGAATAGACGCCAGCAAAAAAGGGAATAAAAGAAGAATGGCACCATCGCGTATAGTTTGGCACGTCCTGCTTCGATGATGATGATGGCGGACAATAGAAAAGGACGCGTGTCGAAGAGGATCTTGTCTGGGCTAAAAGGGATCCTTAATTGAGCAGCAAGGTGTGTAATTAATTAGCCCACGGTCGCATTAGCAGGATGTTTTAGGACGGTACAAAAGCCGCCTCCGGGCGCACCAGATATACTCGCGTATTGATTTGCAACGCGGCGGCGAAACGCCCGTGTCGTGAGTGAGGAGAAAAAATTTGCACCCTCACGTCCGCTCTTGTGTTATATATGAAAATATCTCCGGAGGCAAGGTCATCATCATTTGTTATCCCGGCCGTTAAAGCCGCGGATTGATTGCCGAACCTCGGCGCGCTTCCAATTATTTATCCGTAGGCGAGTGTTAAGATTTTCCGTTGCTTTGTGATTAATCTGAACCTCATGAGCTGCAATTTCGGAAGGCGTTTGTCAGACGCGTAATTTTCTTTTCGCGCGCAGACTTCGTCTTTCTCTAATAGAAAGTCGTAAAGTGATTGATGAACGTTGATGGCGGCTCCGGACCAACTCACATTTGCAGACAATGAAATATAAACTTTTATTTTTCACGTCAATAAAATCCGGCCAGAACTTCACCGCAACTTCTTATCATTTGAAACGCTGATAGACGAATTTTATGTTTGATATAAATAGCGTCATCTTTTATAATTACTGATAATTTTATTAAATTTTAGGACCATCAATATATCTTTGAAGATAATTTACTCTTAGCACAAAAGAATGACTCGAATGACTGAAGCTTTTTTGTATCCAAATATTTTATAAAAGCATTTTCCCCCACAAAATTAATCTTTTAAAAGCTCTGTGTAAAAATGAGGTGAAAATGGTGATTTGAGAGTGTTTACTAGTATAAAATTTGCCTCTTCTTTGCCATCAAAATCCTAAATGAACTCCTTTCAACCAACAAAGCTAACAAACTTCCACGCGCACCCGTGTTTTGAGAGAAAAAAGTGCTGACGTTATAAAGTGGCTGGTTGTTTGCTGAACCGTTTCAATTTGCGCAACGGCCATGGATTATGGAAAGTTTCCCGCAGAATCACCGGCAAAACACAAGCCGAGAAGCCAGCAGATGACGGTGGTGGCTTATGTTTTTGGCATTAGGAGCGTTGCCAAATTAGACAGTTGAGCTGGGAACAAAGGATGTCGTTATGTTTGTCTCCTCCCTGTCACGCAGTCCCATTTAATGCAGCACCGTATCTCATCCATCTCTTTTTACGACTATAAATTTTGAAGCACATTGTTACCTAGGGGCAAACGGATCCACCACTAATTCGTCTCTTTGCAAACAATTCTTTTTTGCACTCATAAATATTCGAACTAGGATTAGCATTTTTTAGTATAATTTGCATCAACTGACTTTATTGTGGGAGCAGAAAACACAATATTTGATGATATTAATATAAAAAACTATGCTAATATTTAATATTTCAAAGATTATGGAATATAAATAACAAATTTCTTTTATTAATGCAAAGTAATTCTATTAAATTTTATATATTTTATCAATGAATCCGAGAAAATCCAACTGTAACATAAAAAAATTTTAAATTAATATTTGTATGCTCTATAAATGCCTAACAAATTAATTTGGGATTCATTTATTATTTGTTTTGACTGAATTCAATTAAAAAATCACATAAATAAGGATTGAATTGTTAAATTTGATATTAGTTTAAAGCAATGAAATAAATCATTTCATGATTTTCCTGGTTTGATTCATCGTCTTCTGATCGTCGTGAATTTAATATTAATGTAGACGAAGATGCAAGATACAAGTTTCAAGTCCTGAAGGAAAAGCAGCTTTCCAAACAGTGTCATTTCAAAGTTGCTTAAAAACATCGCAAGTATCTCCAGGCGGCGTAGGCGCGTCCTTTTATTAGAACAAAGAAAGCTCTTTCTAAAATTAACTGGATACGCGAGAGTGGGAAGTTATTTGTTGAGCGGAATCAGTGAGGCAGCCGAGTGGGTGGAGAGAATTATGTTATATGCTACGCATACTGCATATTTAACCAGGAGGCTGATTGGAAGTGAAATTCTCTGAAATTTGCTTTCAGCTCAATAGTCATTCCGTGTACATAACTAATTAGGCAAAGTGTAAAGCAAATTCAAATTCGTCAAACATTTCGCAGTTTTCATAGCGGTCCAATTTGGCGCGAGATATACAACCCGCGCTATACCAACGATCGGCAAAATGCCTAATTCGCCTTCCCCATGTAATCCAAAATGAACAAAATGAAAATAAGGTTTTATTGGTCACTATTTTTGCCGCTCGGCAATTTGGTTCACGATTAATATTAATAATTTACTGCCTTTGCTTTGTTCCAGCGTGACGAATTATTTTCTGGTCAACCTGAGCGTGGCTGACCTATTGGTGACTTTGATCTGCATGCCTATGGCTATCGGGCAGGCTGTGAATCGACTCTGGCTCTACGGCGACATCATGTGCAAGCTCACTTACTATTTACAAGGTGATACGATTCTGATTTTTGTCATGGACTTTGTTAGTAGAACTTTCCTATTGTTACATTAACAATATAATATGAAAATTTATTTAAATTTTGGAAACACGAAAAAACCTTGAGAAATATAATTGATGTTTAAAGACATGGATTTTGAATTAAAATGGCTTGAATTCCTTTAATTAAGGTCCATGCCATCATAAATTAAGTTTCAACTTGTTTAAGTGGCCCCTTTTTATTTTCATAATCTATATTTGCAAAAATGACTTGTCTTATTATCTGCGATCATTGAGCCTATTTTTTAGTGGGAAAAAGACTTTAACGCTAATCCATACGTGCCATTAAAAGGAACTTTCAACACTAAAAAAAATTAATCCACTTTGTCTCATCTCTTTATAGACCGCTTTTCAGTAATAAAATCCTGGTCCTCTGAAAGCATTGTGACCCTACAGAGGTGGAAAATTTGAAACATTAGGATACATCCCTGAGGCGGTGGCTTAAAAGCTTTCTCTTGAATGTGCTAGAGGGGTGTTTTTTTCTGGAAATAGTATAGCAATCATCGCTTTGACGTACCCGAAATGTGCATGGGACGTCTGAGACAAGTGTCTTTAGCAGTTAAAACGTTTCGCGGGAAAACTCGCCACTTGAGAGTAAAAACTCGTACAGAGAGCTACGTGATTTATCCCAACTTGCCGTTTTTAATGGGATTGGAGTGGAAACGAGCTGCCAGGGGCGAGTTTGTTGCTACAAAGAGGAGCACTCTCCTTCCCTTTTCCTTGGGCGAGGCTAAAAACTTGCTTGAAGTGATCTTTTTTCGCCGTCCACTTCAATCATATCAAGCTCTTTCCCATGACAAAAAAATTAACAGCAAACTAAATATATTTTATAAAGAGTAATATTTTCTTTAAATAATCTGCTGATTGTTTGGTATCATTTGCATATATAAGTATAAAATTAAAAGCAAAATGCTTAAATTTTTTCTACTTACTTACATATCTAAATAACTCCTCAAAATTAAAAGCAAACTGATTTTTTCATCTTTAATTGTCTTTTCCTTCTTGGGAAATATTTCTTAATGCAAACTTCTGCGTTGTATTTATTTTTGTTATATTTTTTTCGTCAGTTCCTCAAGCTTTTTTTGTGTATATGGAAATTCAGATATGCTGCGTAAAAAAAACCAAGGAACAGAAAGCTTTTCTTCTGTCGTAACCCCGAAGAAAGAGCGAAATACGACCGCACCGTAGAGACAAGCCTTATGTACTTACTGAGAACCAGATAAGCCTATTGTGTTGCCACAGCTGAATAAAATGTGTTCACGATCCTGGAAATTTTAAAGCTTAGCCATCAAATGGCTGTGATTTTTGTAAAACGGATGCTATAAATTATATCTAAATCAAATTTCTGATATATTCTCACTTAAAAGTCTTGAAACAAAGGTCAGACCAAAAAAGAAATAATATTAATATTTAGATTTTCATAAGCACCCGAATTTCTTATTTTTTTTTTCACTCAATGCGAATTTACCGAATTTTCTTTTATATAAAGAAAGGAAATGCGGAAATTACACAGACCACAGACCCAATTCACAAAAACAGGATCTTTGCCTAAAATCATCCAAAAGATTATCGGATTTTGTTGTGTTCGCTTGAGCAAACAAATGTGTTAAAGCGAAAATAATCAATTGTATTTCATGTGGAAAAATATGGTGAGGAAAATCCCCTCTCCATCTAGATGCTGTTCAATTTCTCTCTCATTATTATTCCTACAACTCCGGAAATATTGTTTTACTAAATTTGTTAGATTGTTAAATTGTTTATTTCTTAGAACAATTAAGTGTCCTTTGTTTGCATTAAAAATTTATAAATCAAAAGAAATAATCAATACTGGGATGGACGCGTTGAGAGTTCAGAGTGACTAGAGGTATATACATTATTGAAAGTTCCAAAACTCCTGGGATCATTTTGCCTTCTACATAACATAGCCCTTGAACCTTGGCACGCAAAGCACTTTGAGTAGAGTTGTTTGACGGGCCTTTATAACTCTCCAGAGTTTCTCAGAAAATTCCATGCTTCGCCAGTTGTATAACCCTAGATAATTAATCCTTGATGCCTTTGAAGGTTAAATAAGACTATAAACCTGAAATTAAAGATGCATGCTACGTTAGAGACTATTTAACGGCAGAGATTGAGGAACTTTGCGCCCTACCGACCACATAAGACGTCCAACTCAACGCACTAATCTGTGTTTGCAGGTGTGTCCGTGGGTGCAAGCGTGTTTACCATCACAGTCATGAGCATCGACAGGTACCTCGCCATAAGACACCCGATAGCATTCCGCAAAGTGTTCAATAGACGTTCCACAATCATGGTATGAAAAAATGTTTTTTATTACACTTGAAAATGCATGCCATCCTGCAAACTACACCCACATTTTCATTTTTAAAGATATTTAATCCGCCTGACGATTGAAATGCAATCCTAATAATTGGAGCCTTTGAAAAAAGTTTTGATGTATAACTTTTTTCCTTTGTGTTCAATATTCAACAATGATAAGAAACATGAAAATAAAGTAATAATTTTGCAAAAATTTAAAAAAGCCGATTAATTATCGTAAGAAAGCTTTTTAAAAGCCACATCTGTTTAAAATAATAACAATTGTTGTTTAAAATTCAATGAATAATATGATGTTATATTATATTTTATTTAAACTGACTGAGTGGGACATAAAGTACTTACATTCAGGACAAAAAGGCATATTCATTCTGTCAGTCATCTCGTTTAAGCTCAATATTTTTTAGACGAAACTGAGCCAACCGTGTCACAGAGGCTTTTGTTGATGACGTTTTTTGCTACATTCGTGATATTTCCTTGAGACGAGGAACTTATTCCCTCGGTAGTCAAAGCCTTCAGACAGCTCCAAAATGAGAAAAAGAATATACCACTGAAAAGAAAATCCTCAGATTCTAGGGAATAATAAGATTTCTCTTTATCTCGTAAAATGAGGGTCCTTTAATTCAAATAACACCATAACGCTGCTTTTGAAAGAAATCTTTTTAATACAAGCAGATCATCTGCGCTCCTCAATTATGAAGCAACCGTTTTATTTCTTCTGTCAACTTTTTCTACCTTAATCCAGTTTTCAAAAAATAAAGACTAAATTGGTGATTATATCGGATTATATATGATTTTATCCTTTTTTTTTGCTCAAATTCACCCATGGAAAGTTAAAAAAAAAACACGTGAAAGCTGCAACATAAAATAAATGGAATGGACCAAAATTTTCATTAATTGTGAATTTGAGTTTTAAAATAATAAAATAAAATAAATGTCAAATACACTCCATAGGAAAGTTGTGAAAATTATTTCAAGTTCGTTAATTTTAAAATAATTTTTAATTGAAATTCCCAAAAAATAGTTTTCGTTGGTCTTAATGCTCAAAAAATTCATAGCAAATATTTTCCCTTAAATTAGGGAAACTTTGGTAACAATATTTTTTAAAGGAGATTTGACTCAAATCTCACCTAGATAATCACCATTATAATTTCAACCCTCTCCCCTAATTAAAGAATGAGGTTGTTGTTATCAAAAAATAAAAAAAATAATGACATAATATCTTTTCCTTGTGATCTTCTCAAGGGTGAAAGGAACCTTATTTTGATTTTTCTCAGAATAACATCATTACATTTGAATAGGCGTTGATTACATCATCTGTAACTTGCCGCAAATTCAGAAAACGTCGTCTGTCTCTCGTGCTGAAATTTATGATTATGAATGAAATTATATCCTTTTGACAATCTTTAATATTAATGAGCGCGGCTTGAATTGCAGGTGATTGTAGCGCTGTGGGGAGTGTCGCTGTTGCTGTTTGCACCGCTGCTTGTGGTGCGCCAAACTAGCCGGGTCATGGTCGAGGGCACTGACCATCAGTTGTCCTTCTGCCTGGAGCAATGGGGCACCCCTAAGCACCGTCGCTCCTACAGCATCCTCTGCTTCGTGCTTGTGTATGCCGTGCCCGGATCCATTGTCATGCTGGCCTATTCGCTAATGGGTCGTCGTCTTTGCGCCGCCAGCCTTTTGCAACAGATCGACGCAAGTGCGGCACCGGGAGTGTCGCGTTACCAAGCTGGAGGCGAGCGACTGGTGAGGGACCGAAAACGCGTGGCCAGAATTCTGCTCCTCCTGGCCATACTTTTCGCCTTCTGCTGGCTGCCCTACAACATTCTGAACCTGCTGCTGGACCTAGACGAGCAACGACCAAACTCGGAGCAAATCTTCGCTCTCCTCCCTTTCACCCTTTTGCTAGGACATGCAAATTCCGCCATCAACCCTCTGCTGTACTGCTTCTTGACACGGAACTTTAGGTATTTAAAACATCTATAATTTTCATATTTTCTCATTTGTTAACTCTTCTGCCCTGGAACTTGTTTTAAGTTTAAGCTCATTAGAATTTTGGAGCAAATAACATTTCTAACGAGATGAGCGCGATAAAAAAAAGCTGTCTTCTCATATTTAAAGATGATAATTTCTGTTTGTTATTGCTTTCCTTTCTGAATTAAAATGATACTGAAGCATAAATTGCAATCAATGATTGTTATTTGTGATTATTTCATTTTTTATCAACTTTTTTAATGGCTTTTAAACTAAGGGTTTTTTTACTGCTGCATGCAAAAGTACATAAATGCGCAAGTATGGCTGAATTTGAAATAGCGATCAAAAAGTGCAAAATTTTAAGGGTTGAAGCAGGGTTTATTTATTTATTAATTTGGGCAGGATATGATGCTGAACTTTGTAAATTTCATCCCTTGGGAGTGCAAATATATTGATCTCGAGATAAAGTTTTGGTTTATTTTGATATCAAAAATGAATATCTAAACTGGAGACATACTATTATGGAACGCTTGTTATCGTGTATTAAATTTTTTTTTAGCTCGTTTTAGAATTTAGTCTTGCCTTTTTCTAGAAGGGTTTCTTGATTTGTTTATTGTTTTACACTGAAAAAAAAATATATCGTGCTTTACTATGATTCAACTACCGGTTTTTCATGAGCTGCGAATTATTTTGACAGAGATGAAATAATTATATTTTTTGAAATTATTGGGGTTTGGGGGCTATTCACATGCTAATTTAATGCCAGCAATTCCCATAAGTTAGCTTAGCGTGTGAATATAGAGGATTTTAGTTTGGAATTTGGATTTATTTTAGATTTTTTCCTGACTAAAAAACGTGCGGAATAATGAATGGCGTGGTCAAAATCAAGATACCATCAGCCAATTATAACGATATAACTGATCTTTGTTGGCTTCCAGAAATTATTTGTATCTGCGCTATTTTTAAAGACTTCATAAGTTTTCCTCTTTAGAGAATCGTTCTCACCACAATGCCACAAAAATTTCAATAGTATTGACAACTTTTCCTGTCCGACTACACGACACAAGCCAATTTCCTCCCGATTGTGCAAACGATTGCTCTTTGTATTTCCGTTGGCAAAAGGATATAAATTATTTTGTTAAGCGACTTTTAAAGCAGAGTTTTATTCTTCCAGGAATACGGTGCGGCAAATGTTTTCTCCCGTTTGTGCGTGCTGCCGGGTGGAGGACGCGGGCTCCGCTAACAGAGCTGTGATTTCCCCGCCAAACCAAAACGGCCACGTTTGTTCTACATACCAATTTCGCAGATACAAGGTGAGAAAAGTTCATGACCACCCTTTATTATACTTTCCCAAACTAGCTGTAAGTGAATGGCGAGCGCTGATGAGAAAATTAATTAACATATCTTTATTTTTTTAGTGTCAGGCCAAATTTGTTGGTTTCAAATTTAAAATGCCAATAATTGGCCTGCATTGAATTGATCTTTTAACACCTTAAATTTTTAGCGTAATAGTGTTTCGAAACATTTCAGCGATTATTATAAATACTTATTCACTAGTGCGTATCATATTTATTTTTTGGGTCATTGATAAATTGAACGTAAGCGTAATAAATTACTAAAGATAAAAGCTATACCTGCTACATTATTTTTAATTTGAGAGATTATATTTAGAGATTGGTTTTAAACATTTTTAATTTCTTACAAAGTCGTGCAAGTTTATGAGCACTGAAGCTGAATGACAAAATTTGTGGATTTTCGTTCGTGTTCCAGTCATTTTATTCATGATGCCAAAATTATTTTTACCCTCCCGGGCTTGCATTAAAAGTGGGTCACAATGTCTCAAAAGGAAATTGAGTTGAATACGATTGCCGAGTAGCTGATGCGATGTTGATTAGTTTTCTGAGAAAATTTCCGCTCGATCCCAATTTGAAAATCAGCAAGACTGTTGTTGCCAAACGAAGCGCGCCTCAAGAACGCGTCATGTGACGCCATCACATTGAGCTTAATGAGCACCAATGTTTGAAGCAGCACAAATTGCTGGAAAAGTTCATCGCTCAATTCACATGCTATTTACTCCTCGAATGTATTTTAATTAGTGAAGCGAGTTTGCAAAGAGGATGAGAAGCTTATGGCTCCAAAAGATTTTAGCATTGGAGAGCTAAGCTTTTTTCAAAATATAAATTATACATTCATATATTTTTAAAGTTAAAAACTTCATAAAGAGTAATTAAAAAAAATACGCAGGTTGATTACATAACATCCCAGGAACCAAGAAAAAAAAGATCATTAGAGATAAGAGGGAATAAAATATTATTTTTATGATAAATTTAATATTAAATTGGAGAAAAAACGACTTGTAGGTTACTAATTGGTTTACTAGTGCAACACAAGAGTCGACCGTCACACATTTTTAATAAAAGAGCTCACAAGAATCGCCCTAAGCCCCAAATTACCGATCTAACTTTTTTCCTCATTCTACGTTCTTTTCTTCTCTTTGCCAAATATCTGTGCAAAATATGCTCTTGCGCGTTCGCTTTGAAATGCTTTCTAAAAGGCAATGCTAGTGTACAACAAAGGAGAGTTTGTATGGTTTTTGACGACTAGGGTCTGTGGATTCTCCCGCTATTTGAAATTTAACCCTCACACACCCTGCACAACATGTGATAGTTTACAGTTTTGCCAAAAGTTCTAAAAGCTCTCTTTGATCATTATTCTGAAAGTTAAAATCTTGCGCCACTTGAAAATTGACAATTGAAAATATAATTCCAGTTTCTAAAAAAATTCATATTACTGGTTAAAATTTAAGTTTATTAATAAATCTGTTAGCAATCGCTGAGAATTTTATAAATTAAAAACATAGTAAGAGATGAAATGAATTTCTTTAAATATATGTATTTTATTATTATATTTCATTTTTCATTTCAAATAAATTTGCAATGGCCCTACAGTCTACGTCAATATTTCAGCTGTACCAGCGAATAAACTTTTTCCTTTTTACCTTTGATAAATAGCTCAGGAAAAAATAAATTTTGACGTGAAAATATCAGGTAATTGGAAATTTTACAAGTTGTTTTCTTACTCCATTATATTTAAATTTTAAAATATTAAGAGAAATCATTAAAAAAATTTATATACAATAATTATTCCCTTTCATTCTGATTTTCATTGTTTTCACCATATACTCTAATCAAATTTAAAACCCCTTGAAGCCTTCATTGAAAAAAAAAATATTTTTCTTCCTATTACCCTGTTGCTGACCAGCGACAAAATGTTGAGATAAATACAAGGAGCATCTGCTTTCTTGCTACTCTTTTAATAATTATTCATATCCATGTGGAAATGCATCCTTATCCTGTTCGAGATGTTTTACAATTCAAAATTCGCCTAGAATGAAAAAGGAGGGAAAAAATATTTGCTGGATTCGCTTCCATCAATTTAAATTTTTGAGCGAGAATCAACGTACGTGGGTTTAAAAGGAAAACATTCATTCGCGTATACTCGCGTGTAGGAGATTTTTATTTTTTCAGGACCAAAATTTTACATACAGGTGAGGTGAATCCGACTATATATGTGCAAGTTGGGCTATAAATTCGACCAAATTTAGAGCAGCTATGCCGGCGGATGCAACAATGCCCCTGGTGAAAAGGCGTTCATAAATTTCAATTAAAGGGAGGTGAAAAACAGCGCGTGGCAAAACCTATATAGACCAGCTGCTGCTCGTAACTGACGAGATTGTTAAATTTGCCTCTCTCCACACTGATTTGCATTGAAACAAGGGAGAGCTGGGAGTGAAAATTATTCAACTCATTTGACCTCCTAATTTATTCAGTTAGACATTTACATTTGACTAACGAAGTCTATATATTTACATAGGAACAGGGAACGGAACAGGCTGGAGGAAGTTGCAGCGCAATTACCTGGCACGCAACTCATTATCTTTCATATTGTAATTTACTTTTTATTTTCTGCTTTAAAATATGATTGTAGTGTAAAAAAACGCACGCGCGAGCGTATCACCAATTTTGTTCACATTTATTTACTCTAAATATCAGCAACAACGAAAAATGATTTGAAGAAATTGATACTCGAGGAGATGATCATGGAAATGAAGAGATCGGGCTTTTGCTCGTTGCAAAATTGTTTTTATTCAAAAACATAATGGCTCTACCAGTTTCGGTCAAGGTCTGCGACCCTATTTCATGAGCAAACGCTGACTATAATACAAATTAGCGCGTCTACTCACGAAAATGGGTCGCAGATCGTTTTGGAAACTGGTAGAGCCGTTTGCTTTTGAATAAAGACAATTTTTACAACAAGGAAAAAGCCTATTTTTTTCACTTTCATTTGGATTTACTTTTTATTAAATAATTTTACAATGAGAATAATGTACAGCCCGTTTTTCAATCCCTTCCGCATAAGCGTCTCTTAATTAATTGCCTTTCTTATCTCTCTTAAATTTACAGAGTTATTTAAGTTTCACGAGCCGAAGCATACAATTATTTAAAATGACTGAAGCTCGAGAATTTTTTAAAACTTAACATTAGTGATGTTTACAAGAGAGATTAGAATTAATATACGTAAGTTCTAATTAAATTTAATTAAGCTATATGAAATTTAAAATCTCAAAACGTTGAAGTCACGATTAATAATTTAATTTCAAATATTAAATTAAGACATCAAAGATTTCATTTTTTGTAATTAAATGGATTTTCATGATTTGTTTCTGATCGCACTCAACATACTATAATATATTATACATACACTTTGCAAATTGATGACCAAATATCCTTGTTATTTGCACGACTACACATTATCATGAATGTTGTTTCAGCTTTCGCAAACAAAAAGCAAACTTCATATTGATATAGTTGTTGGTGCTGGGTGTGTATGATATTCAGAATTTACGCACAGAGCGCCAAAAGGAACTTAAACGCACAGGCATTATTTATACACCATACGTGTATATCTTCCTGTTCATATATTCTCTTTGTTTGGAACCACAAGTCTATCTTTGTCGTCAATATTTAATTAAATACTCTTGAAGCAATAGAGGAAGGCTTGCCAGTCTTGACTACACATTCGCACAGTAAAATAGATGGAGCAATTACAAAGATGCTGAGATGTTTAACCATAATTATAACTCTGCCAACCTCATATACATGTAGTACTCATTGTAGTGTGATTTTATTTACCTCTGTATTCAATTCTTTGTGGATTTATCTCATCTTGATTTTGAACCCAATTAAAATTTTCTTGAAACTTAAACGCAAAAAAATTATCAATGAATTTCGAAAACTCCACTTCCATAGTTTGATTTCATGAATCAACGCTGACTCAAAATTCAGGAAAAATTACTTAATAAAAATAATGAATATATTACCACTCTTAAATAACATAATTTTATTCTTTGCAAATCATGAAATCATAATAAAACTAAAAAATATAGGTCTAATTTTCCGTCTGCTTTTATCAGCTATGTTCAATTCAACTATCGTTTATGCCCGTACTACAAAACTGTTTGATAAATAGCAATAAACCGTCTGCACGTGCACACTTGTCAGGCTTAAATTTGTTTACAGTTACAAATTGTATTTATACAACGTTGCTCTTTCCGGAATCTTTTATATAAACAAGGAAAAGATTTCAGATTATTTCGTAGCTTGTTTGCTCAAAGGTACGCTAGCCATCCCTGTTGACTGGAATTCAAATCATTTTTCAGTCTGCATGTATTAAGTATAGTGATATGAACGTTTTGAAAAGTCAAAGTGTATTTAAATATTTTCATTGACTTAAATTTAATTTTTTTTTATGTAATTGATTTGCTCATGTAATTAAGTATTAAATGGTAAATAATTTAACTATTCCAAGAGAAGTAGAATTTTTCTAATAACTTGGAATAGAATTGAGAAATCAGTCATGTGATTAATTATCGTAAATAACAGATTATATTTTTTTTTTATTGCTGCTATAACATTGGAGAAATGCCACTCTAAAAAAGCGTATTTTGAATTCAATTTATATCTTTAATAACGAAAATCGATAAATAAATTGTTAAGTAAATTTTGAGCTAACATTTTAAGCGCCGCATTAAGGTGCGTCTAAACTAAGAACCATATTAATTTTTGAATTTTGTGTTCGCAGACTCGGGTACCGATGGGAGCCAACGCCGCTCTGCGCGACTGCGAGCGCGACGACTCGCCCAACCAGATGAAGGCCAAAAGCTCTGAGTTGGTGGAAATGCGGAGCCTGAACAGGGCCGGTTCTAATCCCGGGGTCGAATGTGCGGCGACCCACTCGACCTCAAGTTACGCGCGCGGCCGACTGACCTACAGCTCGTCCAGCGGCTACGACTCTTGTCCGGCGGCGCTGACCTACAGCTCCAATCAGGGCAACAGCTCGAGCACCCTGGCCTGCACCACAAACTTCATCGACCACAGCCCGCACCGCAAATGCTTTCTGCGGCACTCAAGGCACTTGTCAACGCCGAACGATTCGTCCGTGCCCATTTCGGCGCAGCAGTGCCACTTTTAAAGAAGGGCTCGTTTTTTTATCGTTGGCGCTTCAACTTCGCTTTAGAGACTTGGCTAATTGCAAAAGTCAATTAGTTTGACGATGATGGTTGGTGTTAAAACGCTGCTGGTAAAAATTCATTTTGACTGCCACGGGGAGTTTCCACGGCTCTCTGTGGAAGTTAAACTTTTACTTGTTTTTGCAGATTCGTTTTATGTTTGCGCTAATGTAAACAAGAACAGCAAGGCTGATTTGAAAATTCTATACGCGCATTTGATGTGACAACCTCTACAGAGCTATTGAAAGGGATCCAAATGGCTAACCTGGCTCAGGTTAATATTAAATCCCCTGGCCCAGCAAGCAATTTGAGTTAAGCCAGGTTAGGCTTTTGGATCGCTCTCATCTCATTATGTTTCCTCAAAATAAACTCAACTACAGGGATAAAAAAGTTTTCAAATACATCTTGATAAATTGTGACGTAGAAATGAAAAGAATACGGCTGTGTGTAAATTTGAATAATATCGAGGCAATCAAATTGCTAAGTAGTTCACTTTTTTGTTATAACGCAATTTGTGCGTGCTGGCGCGGGCACAAATAGTGCCAAAAAGGTAATGATAATGAGGGTTTTGACTGGCATTCCAAAAAGGCTTTTTATTTACTTCCTATTTAGTAGTAAATTGTGTAATGGGAATCCAAATTTAATCGATTAATATCCGCCGATATCCGCAATTCATGATAAAAAATATTTTTAATCATATGAAACAAACTGAAACAAACGATGCTGATAATCTTGAATAAAAAAGATACCTTTTCTAATTTGCATTAATTTAATATGAAAACTGGTGAAAATCTTGCAATGTTCATGCAAAATAGTTTGCAGGAACACTGCAATAAGAAAGGTGTTTAATATTGATGGTTAGATTATTTTCTTTCCTAGAATATTATTTTAAGTTACCAGCAAAATCAACTGAGAATTATTTCAATCTTGTCTCAATGATGTTATATCTGCCGATCGAGTTAGCGAAAAATAATTAATTGGTTGATTTTGCTTTTACGCTGTAAGTGTTTTTTCTGTAAGATTTTTTCTTATATTTTTTTTTTTAATTTCTATGCATCTCTCATACAATGAAAATGCTCTGACAATAGGAGCGGTATTTTATTATTATTATTTTTTTTTTAGTAAAAAATGTTACTGCGGTTCTTTTACGTTAATTATTTTTTATTCTTTAGACAAATAAAAAAGCAAAATTAGCAATATTTTACCATTTCATATGATTATTATGCTTTAAATTTGCAAACCTTTGGACTGCATTGCACGTCACCTAGCAATTTCCGACAGCTTGTTGATTGATTGATTACTATGTTATTGTGTACATATTTGGGTGGTAATTTGCAAGCTTTAATCGTTTGAGGATGCAAGCAAACATCCTCATTAAGCAGCATCTCATTAGTGGCGCAGCTAATTAGAAATACACCCTGATTGAGTGTCACAGACTAATTAATCATTATAAGCAAAGCAAATATTTATTTTTTGGCGAACCATTCGTTTTGCTTAAGGAGGATCGGCGGTGAAACTTAATACACTATGTTATGATAGCATCATTCTCTATCGCAGTCAGGTGCAATTTAACTGCGCCTATACTGAAATGATGCGCAACGCAACCTCAATTAATTGATAACGTGAACAAGTAAAGGAGAGAGGAGAAAAGAAGCTCCTTTTCAGAACTTGGAAATTCACCTCTTTTCTATGGCTAACTTGTCTTTGCTGGTGGTATTTAAAAAATTTAAAATAATTATTCTTCCAAATTTAAAAAAATTATTAAATCTAATAATATTAAATGTTATTACACTTTTAAATTATTTCTCTCAATATTATACTTCACCATAGGTTTAATTTGTTTCAAATCACAATCTAAATTAATCATTAGTTTTTATTTTAGTATGGATCAGCACCTTTAGGGGTATCTTTTCTTTTATTCATTAAATTTTTTACATTTTACTTTTCAATATTAGGTTATGAGCTCGTTTTCCACTTGAGCGTGTGACTATTTTTAAATATTTAAAATATTTTTGTTTTATCTGCATGTTTATAGAAAATGTTAATTGTATTTTAAACTTTAAGCTGTAAAAAATTTAAAAAAAAAATATGCATACCAGTTATACAGTTTGTTGCTCGGAAGCTGTTCATATGATATAAAAGTAAAAAGCGTAAAAGGTATAAGGTTGTAATAATTTGTTATGGTTAACAATCATTTTCATCAATCATAGCTCTGCTCCAATGAAAATAATTTGGCATATTGCAGCTCGCGAAAAATGAACAAAAAAAGTTCCAGACTAGCACTAAAAAATTCTTCAAAATTCAAATAAGCAGGGCACCTGCAAATAAAATTTGAGGATAAAATTCGTCATCCCACTTTGCTCTCGCAATATTAGCATAAAATTGAATTTGCGGAAGCTCATGTATGACACAATACATCAAATTTGTTAAATTTTACTGCAGAGACGGAAAATCTAATAATGCCAAAATTTAATGAAGAGGCAGACGTGAACCTCTTCACATTGAGAGTGCGAGCTCGATGTGTATAGTCATCGTTGGCTGCCTCAAGCTTTTCTCTCCCTGGTCTTTTCTCCATTCAAATGTTTTACTGCTGTGGTATAAAGTGTATTTATTTTGAACTCAGGTGTGTTTATTCCATTTACTTTTCCACTCATATTTATCTCGTATCTTGTTAGGAAACAAATTGAGTTAAGTTTACTTGATAATATTTCCCTTAAAATATTTGCCAGCAAAATCAATCTTTACGTTTTGTGGTGAATAAACGAGAGATAATTATATAATTCCAGATCTGCGTGTTGAGAAAATGAATAAAAACTATTATGAAAAATTGAAGGAATCTGAAAACATTCTCAGGTGCTTTTCGGGCGCATATTAATTTTGTAAAAGCATATTTCTTAAAAAGTCTAGTTTTATTATCAGTAAACAAAAAAAGACTTGTTTTATTGTTTATTGTGCCTATGAATTTCATGATTCATTGAAAAATCCAAATAGAAGGAAAACTTCAAAAATCCAGCTAGAAAAAATTGACCTCAATATCATAATTACATGATTAAATTATAATTGACTGATATTTCGTCCAGCACGTATTATCGCGCTTAAAATCAAATCAGGTGTATGTCAGAAATATAATTTTATTACTATAAAACGGGTATAAAATTTGGATTTTGGATTAAAAGAAATAATTAATTAATTTATAAATCTGGATGATTTTATGAAAATGAGAGAGCTAGGTTATAAATGTGCGGAAAAAATAAATATATTAAAAAATATATTTTATGTACGATATCTGCAGCTTTAGCTGCAACCTACTTTCAATAATGAATTATTTAGGCGATAAAAATATTGAATATTGTAGTTTTTAGTTATCGCAATTAATAAATTAAAAAATATCCAGAATTAGAATGGGACAGGTTGTTTTTAAGAACTTGTGCTCAGGATTCACTGAATCCGATTCAGTAAAACTTTTTATTTTATTATTTCGACTCCGATATACTTTATAGTAAGTGAAGAAAGACTAAATAATGTCATTTAATTTTATGAACTGAATCAGACAAACTGAATATGTTATTAACATTTAGAATGAATCAAAATTCACGATAAAAATTTGATATATTTAATATGTTATGAAGAATAGATTGACAACTGAATTTATATCAAATTTTCCTTCAAATGTGCATTTATAATAAAAAATTACTGTATAAAATGATAAAATTAAGATGTTTAACTCAATTGTGTTCCTCAATAAAAAAAAAAAGTATATGAGGTATGATGCATGTTAAGAAAAATACAATTTCGCTGCAATTTCGCATGTCTATACATAATTTTCAGAGATTCATTGACTTGCTCAACGAAAAATAATTTAGTAAGCAAAATTATGGCAAAATAAAACAATACAAATCTACTCTAATTTTTTACTTCAAAAGAAAAACTTTAAAGAGTTCAATGAGTTCAACGATGAGAATAAATATGGATAAATAAATTTTATTTTTGATGAATTTAAAAATCTTATTTTTTGAATACTTTCTACAAATTTTTCATGATTTTCATATTTTTAAGTTTTTGTTTGCATTAATTTTTGCTTCAGCATGATTTTTCTAGGAAAAATAGCTTTAAAAAAAGTTATGAACAATTGAAAAGCCTCCTTGATAAAATGAAAAAAAAAGCACCACTGACCCCCGCAGCAGCCAGCAGGCAATAATCTGCATGGTCTGCGAGGAAAGCTCCTGTGTTCTTCATTTCTTATTATGCATTAGGCACGGGCGGTTCTTATTATTTTTTATGATCGTCCTATCTTGTATTAAAAAAAAAAAAAAAAAAAAACAGTTACTGATATTGTTACATACATGAAAATTAAGCTAGCTCTAAAATGCTCTATTAATTTAGAATATTTTGATATTAATTTTTCACTTTATTTCCTTTATTAAAAAAATAATAATCAAAAATAAAATCTTTTCGGGGTGCGCAGAGTAAATTTTTACAGTTCAATAAAATAGTTTAGCTTTGGTCTACAGATGTCTCTAGCTCTCAAACGTGCAACCATGCTGGGAAATAAGGTCGATTTTCGCGCGTCACGAACCATGTGCGTGCGCAGAGCCGCAGACGCCTGTTCTGTCCGCTCTGCTGTTTTTGCCGTGGCTGCTCCATCCATCCTGCGATTCACGTCTCAAGAATTCGATACACACCATACGTTATTTGTTTATGTACAGTTTTACATAGAAAAGGGCCCGTTGCACTTGAAATCGGTGATGCGCTCTGGCAGTTGGTGAAACCGAGTTGGCAAAATGCAGGCAGCCCCGTCGCTGGAGAACGTCTACGGCGCCGTGTCCACACTTTTCGGCAACCAGGACACCTCGCAGAGAGAAAAGGCATCGGCATGGCTCGACGAACTACAGAAATCGGTTTGTCTGCGAATAAATTTTGACCCTTTCCAAAGCCTAAACGTCCGTTCTTGCCGTAGGTCTACGCGTGGAAAATCGCGGACGCGATGCTGCACGAGAAGAAGGACCTCGAGTCGTGCTACTTTGCGGCCCAAACCATGCGAACCAAGGTGCAGCTGAACTTCAACGAGCTGCCCAAGGAGTCGCATGAATCCCTCAGAGACTCGCTGATGGAGCACATTGGCCAGGTCACGGACCAAACCAACGTCGTAATAGTAACCCAAGTAGGAAACGACAAAAATTGTTTGTGCATTTTTTTCTTCAAATTTAAAATTTCAGTTGTGTTTGGCCATGGCTGACCTAGCCCTGCAGATGAACTCTTGGCACAACCCGATAGAGGACTTGATCCACAAATACAGTCAGACCAACGTTTGGCCCCTGCTTGAAATTCTCACTGTCTTGCCGGAGGAGGTCAACTCGAGACTCCTCAGGCTCGGAGCCAATCGGAGAAATGAAGTTACCCAAGAACTCGCAAGTCATTCCAAAATCGTCTTAGAATATTTGGTAGGCCCAGTAAGATCTTAATTTGATTGGTTTTTGAAAATTTCATTCCATTGCAGAAAGCTTGCCTGGTGCAAGGTGCCAACAACCAGCAGCTGAGCATTAAGATTTTAAAGTGTTTTACGTCGTGGATATCCATTCAAGCTATTACGTTGGCAGACATCCCTGACAATCCAATCGTCTCGCACGCCTTCACCATTCTCCTCTCTCACGAAGTAAGTTTTCATTGGCCAGTCGACTTATGTAACCAATTTGCAAGTTGCCAAAAATTTGATGGCTCGCACTTTATTTTACCTTTGTAATAATTCTTCTCATATTTTCAAATAATCCAGTGTTTTCTCCCATTCTTTTGGCTATTTCATTGAAATTAATATCATTGTAAAGCACAAAAATAAGATTTTGAGAAAAAAGCTCTGTAAAAGAACCATTATTAAATGGAATCTTCAATGATTTTTATTTTAATTCTCAAGTTCTCCAATTTTAGAAAAAGATTATTCCTTCTTAAAAATGTTCAATGGAATTTGTTTTGATACATTATATTTTTATTAAGGCGCCCTTTGCTATGCACGACTGTGCGACTGACTGCATTTGTGCTCTGCTGCAACATCTGGAGGACAACAACAACCAGCAAGAGTTGGAAGTGCAAATTGTCGATGCTGTTGTTAGACTAGAAAGTAGTTATCACATGACTGTGGCGGAGGAATCGACAGAAAAGTGAGATTTTTCTGCACTTCTTTTATGGCCAATTCTTACTTAAATTTTCAGATCTTTAAATTACTGCCGTATATTTACGGAATTGTCGGAAGCCATGTTAGACAAAATCATCAACGGATCGTCCGCTGGCAAACCTCACTTTGCTGTTAACACTTTCGATCTGGTCCTCACGTGTGTTGGCCACCATGATTACGAAGTAGCCGAAATCACTTTCAACCTTTGGTACCGCCTTTCGGAGCTACTCTACGTTAAGAACCAGGAAGATCTCTCAGCAATTTTTGTTCCGCACGTAGAGCGACTGATAGTAGCCCTTTGCAGACACTGCCAGATTGAACCAGATCATGTACGGACTTGATAAATTGACTAATTTCAATAACTCCGAATTTTTTGTAGGAGGGTTTGATAGCGGCCGGTGAGGACTTTTCCAGTTTCAGGACTAAAGTGTCAGAGCTTATCAAGGACATGGTTTTCATTATCGGTTCGTCACACTGCTTTCGCCAAATGTTCCTGCAACTGCAATCTCCTGGGATGACCTGGGATGTGACCGAGGCTGCTCTCTTCATTATGCAAGCTGTTGCCAAAAATATTCTACCGTGAGTTTTATTTTCTTAATTACTGATTAATATTTGAAAATAGTGAAATTTTAAATTAATTAAATTTTTGAAAGCAAAAAAAAAAAACTACCAAATTTACTTTTTTACGCTCTTTTTTATATAAATTATTTGAAATTTTTTTTGAACTAATTGTAGCAATTAAATCATTTGCAAATGTAAACCAAAATTCCTTAAATTTCAGAAAAGCCAACCTTTAATATTGTAAAACGGTTGCAATATGGAGATTTATAAATTTGAGAAAGTTTTTAAAATTGATTATTCCAGTACAGTTAATGAAAAGTGTGCTGAAAGCTAAATATTTAATTTTATAAATGACAATTTCATTACAAAAATGTTTGAATTTTTTCAGTGAGGAGGACAGTGTTGTGCCCAAGGTGATGGAAGCAATTCTCACCATGCCTCCTGATGCACACATCATGGTTAGACACACAGCCGTAGTGCTTTTAGGTGAACTGTGTGAGTGGATAGAAAGGCACCATGAATCACTCGGTATGTTCTAAACTTTTTAATTTATATTTGTACTGATTCTTTTCTTGTAGAGCCGGTCTTGAACTATTTGCTTGTGTGCCTTCAACACCCACTCCTTGGATCAGCGGCAGCAAATGCTCTGCAGAATATTTGCAGTGCTTGCAGGGACCACATGAGTGTCCACTTGCGAGGGCTTTTGGAAATTGTCCGGTCGATGAGCACCTTCAAAATCTCAAACGAGGCTGCCATAGGACTGCTGAAGGGAGTTTCAATTATTGTTGGTCGACTGCCAGGAGAACAAATTGACGTAGCTTTGAGGGAAATCTGCAACTGCCAACTAATGCCTTTGTGCCTGCTGATAGAGGTTGGTTTTTTCTTATTTTGCTTATAAAAAAAATGCTTAAGTTTCTTTTTGTTTTGTTTAGGGCGATGTAAAAATTGAAAAGGGCACACAGAGTGATCCAGTTCTGTGGCTTGACCGGCTCAGCGCCATTCTGAGACACACAAATCCTCTGATCGAAAATCCTAATGCGGTGCATCCCTGTCTTGGTGTGGTTGCAGAAGTTTTTCCAGTGCTTTCTAAAGCCCTAGGAAAATATCAAGACAGTCTGAGAATAATGGAACGATGCTGTAGATGCATTAGATTTGGAATCAGATGTGTAGGCAAGCAAGCGGGCCATCTTTTGGAGCCTCTTGTCAAACAAGTAAGTCAACAGAATTAGCAAAGCAGAAAAGACACTAATTTCCTGGTAGATCGTGACGATGTATGCCCTCCACAAACATAGTTGTTTTCTTTACTTGGGCAGTATATTGGTCGACGAATTCGCAACAGAAGCAAACTGCGTCCAAGGCCTATTAGGAATGTTGCAAGCTTTTGTCGAGCCGGCATTTGAGTTGATGAGATCTTCAGGTGGATTGAAAAATAATCCAGACACAGTTGACGATTTCTTCAGACTCTGCGTTAGGTAAAAATTCTATTTTATTTTAAATATATATTAATAATTAAAATATTTAATTTAATAGGTTCCTGCAAAGGACGCCGGTCCCTTTGCTGCAATCAAATATTTTGAATGCAGTTATGGACTGTGCTTTGATGGCCAGCACTCTTGACCACAAAGACGCTAATTCGTCAGTCATGAACTTTTTCTTCAACTTGGTTCACTGTGGACGAAACGGAGAAGTACAAACTCCAATTTCTATCATACCATTTTTATTAAAATTTTATTTTCAACTAGGATAAACCAGACTTCAAATTGAGGCAACAATTGGTCAAGCATATCATGGAAAGTAGTGGGCAGGTCTTGGTGCTCAACCTGATCAACTCGAGCATTTTCTGCCTCCATTCGAACATGCTAGGCACAGTGGCCGAAGTGATTTTTGAAATGATGCTTTTTAATCGAGCAGTAAGAACATATTAAATTGAGTTATAAAGGTTTATATTTTAAATTTTAGGAAATGTGTGTCTGGTTGGAGCATGCCCTGAAGTCTTTGCCCACAACAAATGCCGGCGGCCACGTCAATGCCACACAGAAGCAACTCGTCGACTTTCATAAATTGGTGACCAGGTAAGAAATCTCTATTGAAAAAATTTTATGAAAGCTATAAGAAGACTGGACATTTTGCTGTAGTTTTAATTGAATTGGATAATTTAAGATATTTTTTCTTTAGCAACCTACAACTATTATTTAAATCAATTACTTTTACCTTATCTTGAGTGAAAATGATGTAAATTTGTGTTTATTTTTAATTCCTCAGGGCTGAACATAAGAAAGAGGTGACCCATGCATTAAGAGACTTTGCTCATCTGTTTCACTAACGACTGCTGGGGCAACATATTGCTGCCCTTATCGATTGGTAAGATATTTTTTTTTAATTCTACATTGGTTGACGACCTTCAAATCTGTCAGAAGACGGAAATTGTACCAGTATCATGTCTAAATCTCATTCAACTAAAAATTTTCATTTGTGGAAAAACTTTTGATAAAATTTAAAATATTTGAACAAACAATGCTGTTAAAATCCAAAAAAATCTGATAAAGTGATTGTGTTGTAATTTAAACGATATTAAAATTTTTACAAATAAAGGAAAATGAACCTTTTTTATTTGGAAATGCCACAGTTTTGGCGCAAACTATGTCGTTTGACAATTCAGAGAAAGCATAGAAAGGCGAGCAACAGAATTCATTTCCCCTCCATGCAGTGCCATCAGCTGCTAACATTGAGCCTGGCTGACAGCCACTAGACCACATTAGACTGTCCTCCACGTCAGTTTTGTTTTGTTTGTGAAGTTTGTGTGTGTGACTTTTGACTTTTGCTGTCAGCGGTGCGCCTTTTTATATGTCTCATTGTTTTCGGTAAGTCAAAGTCTTGCTTTTTATCTTTGTTCTGCACAAATAACATTACAAATTTGAAGTTAAAAGTTAAACTGATGTGACATGTATTAAATTTCTCAATCTTATTATTTTTGTAGCAGGGCTTAAAATTAAATAGTAACTCCCTTACAAATAAACCACATATTTAAAAGAAAACTTCGTCCCACATTGCATTTTACCATGAATTTTTGAGGATACAGGAAACTACTCAATAAAAGCCGGCCGCCATGCGCAAGGCTGAATTCCACGTGTATTGACGGTGAATCACTATATTTTCCCAAAAAACGATTTAACATAGAGAAAACGGAGAAAACCATACGTCTTTGAGCTTTTTACCGTGCCACACTGAGATCTAAAAATAAATCTTTCGTGGAGCTGGTGGTTACATTAGGAAAGAAATTTGGGCTGTGCTTACAATTTTTAGAGTGAGGCACTCTTAATTCTGTTCGCAAAATTTTACTGAAAACACAGAAGAAAATAGCATGCAAAGGTCTATTCAAGTGTCAAAAGAAATTATGCCTGGGTCTTCTGAAGCGTGTGATTTAATTTAAGTTACAACTTCCTTGTTCTTAAAACTGTATGCTTAAGCCTCCCTAGTTTAATAATTACTTCTTCACTGATTCAATATATGTTGGTTCGCTCAATATTTGTCAAATAAACATCTCAGATGTTTCTAGAAATCAGTTTAAGTTAAAATATGTATTGAAGCTTAATTAAATTTCCAGTATACACGTTCGCAAATAATTTATTTCGCTTGCAAAGTATTGAATTGACTGCCGCCATCGTTTGCCACCAACTGGTGACTGGGGCAAATTGTTGTACTCGGCGAAGATGCAAAATTTTTATCTAACACATTATAAGGGTCGCGCCCTCTGATTCGGAGTGATATTGTTATGCTGAAGGTCACGATCGGGCGGGGTGATAAGGCACGAATTGGTTTTTCAACTGCCCCTTTCCGTGCATCAGCAACTTTCACGATGATGTGAACTTTGGTACTTTCCACGATATCCCACGCTTCATGCAACATTATAAGCGTAATCTCTTATTATGGTGACACAAAGAGTCACATTTAGTCAAAAAGCCTAAATTTTCTTTCAAATAAAGGAGACGGCGTTTTAGCCCAAATTTTAGTTTGTCCATTTTCAAATCCTTAGGAAGGGAAATGATCTTATTTTAAGTTTTCAACTTAAATGATTCCTTCAAGTAAATTTCTATAAAAAATCAAGATAAAGAAATTTATATTGGCTTTTCAATCAGATATTATTTAAGAAGAAAAATATAGTCCTGCAAAATATTGTACAAAATTAAAACTCTAGGAATTATCTTAAATTTAAGTCTCAAATATACGATTAAGAATCTCAATGAGTTTTTTTTCACTGAAAAAAAACTTTTTATTTTTATGAGAATATGATTAAATATTTTGGATATTTGTATTCAAAATAACATAATTCGTCCGATATATAAATCCAAACGAGTTTTTCACCAGTCGGCACCAGTCTACCAATTATTTCATCTCAACGCTTTTACAGCCGAATCAAATTAGCGCCAGGGAATTAATTTTCATTTATAATTATTTCAATCGGTGAATTTTATTTTGCGTCCAAAATAAACTGTCTGTTGTGCTCGTGCTCGTTATTACGCTTCCAGTCAACCCGAAATGACAAAACTGAATTTATAAAGCTTCTTACGCGCGCAGCGAGTGATGGAATTATTCAGCCTAGCGTTGTGTTGCGTGGTGCGTGCGAGCAGCCCTAATGACTATAAATGTGTTTTGACCGCGCGGCGGCGACTTCGCCACGCACCACACGTAGACTCTTCGCTACGAAGCCAGAGTAGAGCGCAAACATACCAGCGGGAATGTCTCTTAATTAGCGAATGCCGAGCGGAATATGAGCACCGTGTGGGACAAAATATTTTCCTCGCATAGTTTCGTAACTATTAGATTAACTCTTGAGAGCGCAGCTCATGTGATGGCTTCTAGAATTTCGTGGGTTCAAAATAGAGATCAATTTAAACCAAAATATCATCAGTATTGAATATCAGTGAATCCATATTATAGTTTGGGAATTGTTCGTAAAGCGTGCTAGCAAATTAATTATAGAGAAATTATGCAACTGGCACAACGTGGGTGTGTCACAGGTTGCCTAAAACAAAATCAAACCGACTGAACGAGACTGAGGTTTGGCGGATAATTGATTTGAGGTAGACTAAGTTTCATTGGTAAATTTAAAAGACAAATGTTTTTATGAACGTCGTTTATATAATTTGAACTTTCAACATTATATATTAAAAAGTTCAATGCTATAAAAATTAAATTGAGATGAAGAAAATAATTTTAAATAAAAAAGAAAGGATTTTTTAATTAGTTCTCTTATTTTGAAAACAAATTTATGAAAAAATGAAATTAATTAAATTTTTAATGCAAAAAAAAATATGCAAAATATATTTTGTTAATTGAAATTGTGTTATGAATGTTTGAAAACAAGATAAATATTTATCAAATAATTAAAATAGTTACTTGTTCTAATTTGGTGTAATCCAAAGAAAAAAATGTACCAAATTTGACCGAACTCTTTTTTTTTTAATAATTATGTACCCTTTTCCAACTCTGTGGTGGAAAAGGCTGTCGAATCAGGTGCTGAAATCACGGGGACCAGTTTCTGCCAACCCAGATTTCAAAAAGCGTAAAGATGCTCGTTTTACGACATCGGGGTTACGCGCCATACCCTCCATATATCTGACCTAATCAACTCCCCAGCGGCCGGCGAGGGACGTAAAAGTGACAAAGTGCGTCGGAATCCAATTTCTCCCGCGCACAGCTTTCCTCTGAAAACAAAATTTGCATTCTCAGTGAAAAGTCGGGTATTTTTCATTTGGTCGGCTTGAAATTAATGTTCATTCCCGTGGCAGAGATATTTCATCTGAGAGCGCGCACGTCGGTCTTGCTCCTCCACCGCGTCATTCAAACCTGCAATAAAAATGGTCTGTCCGCTCTTGTGTGCGTAACTCGACGACGAAGGTATAGAAAAAAAGAAAGCGTACATAAAATGATACGGGACAGAGCACAAAGGACGTCCTCAGAGTATATTTTAATATCGTGCGAGAGCAATGTTTTGTTGTGTGGCGATGCAAAAGTGCCGTTTCTTAGCAGCGCAGATCGATCTCTCGGAAGGATGGCTTCGAGGGGAGGCGCCTACCTGACTGTCGCCAAGATACACCCCCCGGCAGTCGCCCTGCACCCCCCGCTGTGTGAGTTCTGCTCGCTCTCCCTCCGCTCGCACCTTTTGTCGAGAGAGACGCTGGCTGGCGTGCAATGTGGCGAAGCTTAATTAAGACTGATTGCGACACAAAGAACAAAAACACACCTTCCTACCTCTCGGATGATCTGTCTGGGCACTTGCATTCATTTGTTGATTTGCGCGCTTGTACCTTTTCTTTGCAGCACAAGTGACTCTAATAGAAGAAATGAAGGCACGGAGGCCTTAAAAAGATCTCCTTGTTGACTAGGAACTTTTTATTTTTCCATGCTACACTCGCCCATATAATACAATTTTTTTATGAATAACAGGTTTATTAAAAACATCTAGCAAAATTATGCAACCCGCGCCACACAGAAAGTTAAATTATCTCTTTCTAAGCTTTTCAACTGAAAAAATAAAATTCCTTTTTACGCACGAGGTTTGTGTTCAAGAATTCATTCACTTTTAAAATCAAAAATCGATTCAGTATTCCCTAGAGTAAGATGGTTTTTCAGGTTACAAATATACAAATATACTGAGCGGATTTTGTCTTCTCTCAAAATTTATTTCCTGCCATCATCAATAAAAATTTAAAGAAATTTTGTCAAATATGCATATATGCAAATATGCATATATATAGTAATAAATATCATGCTCTGGGGGTTTTTAATTATTGATAATCACAATTTGCCTTGTATGAACAGAAGATACGCATGCTTGCAAGCAATTTTAAATTTTTGAAAAACGCATTATACAAATAATTATGTACTTAGATCAAATGGTTCTCCGCTCTATCTATATCCTAAATTGTATCGAAACAAAATTAAAATTGCAAAATTTTCAACATTATAATATATTGATGTATAAAACAGGAACATATATGATTTCCCAGAAATGCAAAGAGCACGAGTTTTTTTTTTGTGAAACGAGGAGAATTGTGCTGGGGGTTAAATTTAATCGTGGCTTTGCCCGGGGTCATAGAAGCTTTGCCATTATTGTTGCCATAGCCACAGACGGAATTCGTAGAAATGGACTTCACAAATGGCCTCAGTTTGGCATCATGGCAGGTAATAATTTAATTTGCACGTTAAATAGAGATTTCTGTTTCAAAGCACCTGGAATCATTATGTTAAAACTGTGCACAAAAATTTCATAGAAATTATATTGAAATTTTTAAAATTATTTTAAAAATACCGAAGTACATTTTAAATAAATTTATTGATTAAAAGGAAGTTTAGTTTAATAAGTTTTTTTTTAATAGCGGTATTTAAATTATAAAATGTAGATTCTTTTAGAAAATTTAATTTATAAGTAGGAAAAATCTCATAATTAAATTTATTTTTATGCAATTATCAATAATATTACATAATTGATGAGATAAGCTTCTCCTCAATGTGAGATTTTTTTAAATAATTCTTTATGATTAAAATGACCAATGAACCAAAATATGTCACAAAGCCTTCATCGGTTGAAAATGAAAACTTCGTGTCAAGCGAATAATAATGAAGTGACGAAACGACAGAGTTAGTTAATAATGCCCGGGGGACATCTAAATCAAATCAATATTCCAATTAGCAGTGTAGCAAGAGCAGCGACACACACGGGGCGACCGCGCTCTCGCGGAATGATTTCGATAAACAGAGAGCGAATTCGCAGCTTGTCACCGATAACTATGCGCGGGTGGATCGCTTGCTAAACGAACATGGATGCCGAAGAGGATGTTTAATTAATTGATACATGCCAGTTCGTCTGCTCGTCATAATTCCAATTCTGTCGAGGGACAAAGAACATTCTGGCCGCGCGCGAGCTTTTATTAATTAATGAATTATTGCACTCTGTCGGCGGTTGAAACGGAATTCATTTCATTTTGAAAATCTATACCCGACTTGACTCCACAATTCAATATCTAATTTAATTTGATTCCCTGATTTTCGACATGCTTTTTTTAGGAAAAAAAGTAAAAAGATGAAATCTCTCTTGGTACCAGTTAGGGTTGGGGTGAGCAGATCCTATTTCTCATCAACGTTTTCTGATTCCACCCTCAGATTTCTGCAAATCTCTTATTTCAGGAAATCAACTTTCCCGAAATCCAATCTTATCGCTCACATTACGCAACCTCAGGTTTCGTTCTCCAATTCTATCCAGAAATACAATATCTTTTCAATCCTGAAAATAACGTGATGATATTTTTTCCAACTTGCTAGCAATTCTTTTTTAAAGATACAATTCTCAGCATCACAAAACACAAGAAAGAAAAACAAAATGAATAATGAATTTTTAACTATTTTCAATAAGTCAATGACAAAATAATTTTTTTAATCCCTATGCAGATTTAATTTTTTGGCCTTTGTATTCATTTTAATATATTTGAGATTCTCAATAAATTTGTGACTTTACTTATAAGATCATTGATTTGAATGCCTCAAGTTCATGGCAAAATAATTTAATATTTCACCATTTCACTCCTGTGTCGGTTTGTTTTGAAACTCTTTAATATACTCAAATATTACAATTAAAAACTAAATAATTGTTTAATTTAAGATTGCTTGCCGTTAGCGATGAACCGTTGCTGCAAACATTGGCCTATCAAATTTCTTTGTTTTTTTTTTAATATATTATTTTTTGTTTTATTCCAGTTTATTGGTAGGTTTCCAACCCAGTTGACGCTCAGGAGACCAAAAGTAAAGAATAAAATCTTAACGGCTAAAATGAAAATTTAAAATTTTTATACCAAAGCGTATTTAAGGGACCAGTATTTTTTGTGCGTATTAGAGAAACAAAATTATTTATATTGTTATTATTATTATTTTTTTTTTTTAAGAAGAAGAAAATATATTTTGAAAACATTTTCCTTTTTTGACTTACATTACATAATGACAAAGATATTATTATATTAAATTATATGTTGAAGTTCTCAAACGGATCTAGAATTTTAATATCCATAATTTAAATATTGAGACGTAACATTAACAAAAGGAAAAGAATAATTCTCCGAGGCTAGAGTGGGGAGTGAGTCTCTATTCAATCTTAACTCTCCTGCGGTCTCACCTGTGCGTTGGTTGGCCCGCATAGCCGAGAGCGCGGCGCACTCTTTTTTATTTGGATGCCGTCGCCATGAATTTAGATTATATTAGCTCATTGTGTATTGAAGTTTTGGCGAAGTAATGCACCGCTGGGAAATAAAAATAGTGGAAATAATGCCGCTCCGCCTGCGGCCTGCTCGCTTTATGTGAACTCGGGCTGCCTGCGCGCCAAAGTAGCCTCTCCGGGGCCACTATCACTTTTCCGGGGAAAATACCTTATGGCGGAAGAAAATATTAGAACGCGGGCGCGCACCCCACACAACACACACGCCCAGGCTTTACGGCCGTTACAGGTATTCACTTATTAATGCGGTATAGGCGCCTCACACACCGAGAGCCTAAAAAACAATTTCAACCGGCAATTTCGCGAGAGGCCATGTTATTGTGGAAATTGGATGGCGAAATGGGTCCTGTGTTATGTTGTTTAGTAATTTAAATTTATTTTATGATGCACTTTTGAAATGTCCTTCAGTCAATTTTATTGAAAATGTTCCTCCTTCGGTAATTTTAGTTATTCTTTCATATGATTCTTGAATAAAAAGTTTCAGCTTTTCCTTGTTGTGATTCTTGATTTTTTCCATACTCATATAGAAAGCACTTATCCTGCCCTTCTTTGTTCATCGAGGAAAAGCCAACATCAAACATTTTGTATCAACTACCAACCTTTTGATTCAATTGATCTTGAACTTCTTCTACAAAATTATACGTCTTTTAAAATAGATTAAATATTTTGAAAAATATCATATAATGCATGACATAAAAAATAAATATTTTAGTATTATAACAATGATAATGAGTAATCATTTTGATTTTTATGACATAATTAACAAATACATACATAGATAAGATGCAGCCACTGATATGTTTTGAAATTATTGAATTTTAATTTCCCTCCAGACTCATTTGAGAGGCCGAGAGGACTCTAACAAGGAATGTTTATGAAAATAGATTAAATTGATGGCAAAACTCAAAACACTCACTTTTTTAGTCTAATATTGCTGAATAAAAATCTACAGTAGCACGCAAACAAAAATTTCACCTTTTTTAACATTATTTCCAATATAATTAAAAAAGCAGTTTAAATGGGAAAAATTTCAAACATTAAGAAATTTTACATAATAAAATAAAAATTTTGTGAAAGTTGTGGAGTTCTCAAGATTAGAAGAACTTGCACATCAAGTTTCAAAATAATCTCCAACGCAAATCTTTCAAGTTATATGTCTCATCTCATATCATAGATTATAGTGGAAGAGAACGTCGTCATGCACTTTCGAATTGAGCAATAAATTATATATAATATATGTGTATCGCAAAAATCGGATAATCTCGCTGCCGCATTTATGGATTTTAGTAGCACGAAAGAGCAGTTAGTGTTGTATATCAGTGCAGGCATCAAGAAAGTGACTTTGGTGAACTCGCCTGCGGGTTGAGAATTGCTGCTCCTCTCCCGCAGCACATCCTCCGCTTTGGAGAGATACATACAGCGCCCGGCTTTCCTTCCTTCCTTCATTATCCGCGAGCAAAGTCTTAGCTTCTCTGATTATGCACATTACGCGCGAATCCTTTTCCTTATACTTCATTATTGCAAAAGACGCCGCCTCCGCCAACTCTCGACTGGGTGCGTATCAAAAGTCAGCATCTTTTAACTTTTCTCATCTCATTATTCTGTATTTGTTTTGGCACAAAGGGATTTACCACTGGCTAGAATCGACGTTCTCGTGGCTAAAAGAGAGCAACTTCTCCATCTTCACTCTGCTGAGCCAAAAGGGGAACATCGCCAATCTTTACTGATTTACATAAGTCTAAATCAGTCTAAATTTAATATGCATAAATAGAGTTAACTGAAAAACAACAACATTTATTTAGATTATTTCTAGATTTTAAATTTAAAAAAAAAAATATTTTAAATTTGATACAAATTTTTAAATTTAAAAAACATTTTGATGTTTATTTTATTTTTCATCAACATAAGAAATTATTATTTAATATTTAGAAAAATGGGTTAAATAGATTGTCAGCCTTTTCTATATTAAATGTTTTTAGATTGCTGAAGCGGTTAATTTTTATAAAAAAAGCAATACGCTTGCAACCTCTATACTTCAAAAATGAATGTGATTGGTCATAATAATTGTTTGTTTGGGACGAGTGCATTAAATGTATTTATTTTACTAAATTTAAATAATTAATGTCAAATTGGCATTTAATCTAGTATTTGTCTTGCTAATTTCATAAAAATTTTAGGTGTTAGGCGAATTTTATGATACCAATATGCGCAACAAATATTTCTACCGCTTAATCGCCATGTCAATTTTCCCGGCTGAAGATTGGTGGCGTTCCCTTACGAGAAACTCCCGTCGTCGCTCTAACTTGTCTTTAATTGCGGCGAAAATCCTTACTCGGCAGCTGCAATTAAAATTCTGCTCTCCCACAAAACGTGTATACGTAATCTTCAGCCGGCGATCTGCGCGTTGCGACTCTGAGTTTCTCTCCCTGTTGAAATAATTAAACACAGCAGCGGCCGTGCGATCTGCATTTTAATGGACGCGCAAAAGACGGGCTCGTTTGACGGCTCCGTTTGTCCCCCGACCTAAAAGCAGCGGGCAGGGCAGAAAAAAGGGCAACGTATTTTACGCTCCGCCCTTTTGGCATTGTGTTGTGCTTGGGCAAAATATAAATAAAAACGCGCGCACCCCCCGACCCTTTTGTCTTTTTCCTCAAATATAAAATGTACGTTATATGAAATCAACTCACACAATATTTTAATATGAGGCCGGCAAAGAATGCAAATATTTCATTCTAAAAAAAAAAAAGATTGAAGAAATGAAAATTTTTGTAGTAAATGAAAAAACAAACAAACATTATTGCAACACAAATAATATTTTTATTGTTCTGGTATTTCTGATAATAAGAAGAGACACAATGACGGACAAGTAAATAAATCATCTCATCAAAGATATTTTAAAAGCTAAGGAAATCATTATTATTATAGCACAATATTTTGACAAAATTGTGTATTGTCAATGAAATAAATTTTTTTAGTAAACAACAATTTGGAAATAATTATGATAAGCTCAAAATTTGAGCACCAAACTCAATGCAGCCATTAAAATGACTGAGGCGAATGGAACCTTGCTGTTTGCATTGTTGCAGTAATCCTTGTCTGTACATTGTTGGCAGTTTATACATGTTATATCAGATCGGGGTTTTGGCAATTTATTCAAGATGTCGCAAGTTTTCTCTCCTAGAATGGAACAGCCACGAAATGTGAACGTTTCTTTACCCGCTGGAAAATATTGTTTATCAATTCCTCAAGAAATTAAAAAACATATTTTGTGCTTACCAGTTAAAGTGACCTTAGTACAAGCGTCTGAGCATGTGTTGAGGTCCAGTTCATCGATTTTAGCAATACTAATTCCCATCGCAGTAACGGTGCGTTTAAAAGAAACTTCACAGTCCTCGAACAAGTTTGTTTTGTTCAAAGGCTCAAACTTGACATTATTGCATCCTGGGTCAGTAAGAGAATTGCATGTATGGCACTTAAGTGCATGACCTTCAATGAACGTGAAATATATTATTAATAATTTAATTACAAAAAAGGTATTTTTCAATAATTAAAAAAAAAATAAATTAAGATCCGAGACTAGATTGCAGTAATAATTTTAATTTCCTGCTGTAGAATTGATAAAAAAAAATCAAACCTGTTGAAATAAAGAGTATGAAGAGAAGGACCCTAGTCTTCGGGGCAAGCATTTTTGGCTAACTTATCCAATTCAACATTCAGCAATTATATATATATTGTTCTACTAGTATATGATAAGGTACCAGACACATGCAAAGATAACAATTCAAATCAGGCTTAATTTTGTGGAATTCCAGACCACAAATTAATCTAATCAAAATAATAATAATAGAAACAGCGTTTTCAGATAAGGAAATTATCAAAAACGTGTGGCGCGCACTATATTATCAGGAAAAAATCTAAACCTGGACTTTTTTGTGAGAATTTAGTTTTTTATTAAAAATTTCTTATGAAACATAATTATAGAAAAGAAAAAAGATTTGTTTTGAATTTGATTTGCTAATTTTAAGTATGATTTGCAATTAGACTAGCTTTCATCTTTAATGCTAAACAGAAAAATACTTGTTATCTTTTGTATTTCATTTTCTTCTTCTTGAACTGGTTGCTGGATTGCAATTTTTTAGAAGGGCTAAAATTTTAGAGTCAACTTCCTCTTCATCTACCCCAACTGCAGTCAATTTCGCATTCTCTGTGTTGTTTGCTTTTTCCTATTTCTGATTTCACGTCGACGGAGCGGCAACTCTTCTGCTGGGGGCTATGAAATTTTCAAGTGATTCAATGCGAGAATCAATAGTGCGGCCGTGAATAATGCAGAATGCAACTCTGGTGTGTGGCGTGCGCGAGAAAGCACAAACCTTTGACGTGTCAGTCCCCCGAAGGGCGACTGATCATGCTCTGCTCTAGCACGGATTACACAAGTCGCGGCACCGAGTCCCCTGAGAAGTGCAATCCCAGTCAGCTTGCATGACAAATAAAGTGAAACACAAAAAACGCAAAAGGTGCGCGACCTTGCGTCCTTTTCACTATCACTCCGCCGCTGTCACATTCGAATTTACGCAAATGTGCGGCCTTTTTTTCGGCGTCGACTTTTCCCCTGTTTGTTAAAAAAAGGTGAAGGCTTGCAGTTAAAATCATTATATTTCCCTTTAGCCAAGTTGGGTTTTGTTTGAGTGGTTTCAACTCTCGAGAGGATTGCAAAAGAAATGTGTGCGGAGCAGCAGAGAGAAAAGTTGCTGCGGGAGGATGGGCCGGAAAATGGAATTAAAAAAGCTGCAGCCTCTCTCGTTCTCGTCCTATTGCGCTTTTCCGACGGAATTCGAGAGTGGGTCTTTAGCATGGAGGAAAATATGACATGCGAAAAGCACTGCCGGGGTTAATTGCTGGGTTGGGAGTTCTCTGCTTTCCGTGCCGATTTTCAATTTCGTCTCGTGTTCGAATAAGAAAGGGAAAAAGCCGTTCGCACTTGCTTTCATTATTTTCGCCTGCCGAAGTAGAAAAAGAAGTCCCCGAGGATGCAGGAGCAAAGCCTCCGATCGGGGGAATAAATTCAGGGAGGTTCGACCTATTTAGGGATTTTGTTCAGCGTGTGGGTCACGTCCCTGTTGCCCCTTGACTTCTCTGCTGCGTGTGGGTTTCATAAGGAATGACAATTGTGTACGGCTCGTGTATCATTATTGCTTCAGGCGAGGCTATTCCGATCGACTTTCAAATCAAACACAATTGCAAACTGATATTATGCGGTATTGCTACCAATTGAAGGTGAGTTGTAAATAATACACATTTTTTTTTATATTAATTGTTTTCACTAATTGACTGTAAATAAAAGTGATGTGCAATTGGACAAATAACAACCAAAATAATATATCTATAATGGAAAAATTTTATAGTTCAATGTTTTCTTTTTTTGGAATATAATTAATTTATGAGCTCCTCTCGCGCTTTTGCCTGCCAAGGCTGCCGCGTTTCTCTGATTCTATATTGGGCATTGAGCGGGCTGAAAGAAAAGTCCGAGGCCGATTTTTTTCAATTGCCGATAGAGCCAATACGAGCGCCGAATTTTCGTTCCTGACGAAATGTGTGTTGCTTGGACTGCTTAATTAAATAAATAAATGCGTTAAAATGTTAAAACCATTAATAATTTTACTTCAGGGGCCCTCAAATATTTAATAGTTATTGTTTGATATAACAGCAAAGATATTTTTCGCCAATAAAGAAAAAAATATATAATCAATTCAAGATAAAATATCCAGGGTAAAAAGTCAGAATATAAAATATTCAGGGAAATAATTATTTCCATCTGTATAAAAAATCATTAGTATCCAATCTGCTAATATAAAATATTGTCTTTTACTTCTCACATTACCTTTACAAAACTCTAAAATAGCATTTGGCGTTGATAATTTTTCCAACGAAAATACAGTCATGCCGAATCCGTATTATTTCATCAGGGACTTTTATTCCAAAATTTTCACTAAAACGCTTCAAATAATATGTTCCAGACCGTCCTTCCACGTTTTAACATTTTAATGAAAGCTGATAAAAATCTTGCACCAACTCGCACGTATTGCAAAAAGCATTTTCCACGAAAAACGTATTTCAAAAAAGAATGCAAATATTTCATTCAAAGAAGATTAAAATATCTTTTGAAAAAAATTTCTAATTTGTAATAAATAAAAAAAAATACAACACAAAAGAAATTTTTCTTGTTCTGGGATTTCTGATCAAATAAAGAAGAGACACAATAACAGACAAGTAAATAAATTATATATCATCAAAGATATTTTAAAAGCCATAGAAATCATAATTAGTTATGCCACAATACATATTTTGAGAAAATTGTGAATGGTAAATGAAATAAATTTTATTTAGTAAACAACAATTTGGAATTATGATAAGCTCAAAATTTGAGCACCAAACTCAATGCAGCCATTAAAATGACTGAGGCGAATGGAACCTTGCTGTTTGCATTGTTGCAGTAATCCTTGTCTGTACATTGATGGCAGTTTATAGATAAATCAGATCGGGGTTTTGGCAATTTATTCAACATGTCGCAAGTTTTCTCTCCTAGAATGGAACAGCCACGAAATGTAACCGTTTCTTTACCCGCTGGAAAATATTGTTTATCAATTCCTCAAGAAATTATAAAAACATATTTTGTGCTTACCAGTAACAGTGACTTTAGTACAAGCGTCTGAGGATTTGTTGAGGTTCAGTTCATCGATTTTATCACGAAGTCCCATCGTAGCAGTGGTGATTATAAAAGAATCTTCACATTCCTCGAACAAGTTTGTTTTGTTCAAGGGCTCAAACTTGATGTTATTGCATCCTGGGTCAGTAACAGAATTGCATGTATGGCACTTAAGTGCATGACCTTCAATGAACGTGAAATATATTATTAATAATTTAATTACAAAAACGGTATTTTTCAATAATTAAAAGAAAAATAAATCAAGATCCGAGACTAGTTTGCAGTAATAATTTTTATTTCCTGCTGTAGAATTGAAAAAAAAAATCAAACCTGTTGAAATAGAGAGCATGAAGAGAAGGACCCTAGTCTTCGGGGCAAGCATTTTTGGCTAACTTATCCAATTCAACATTCAACAACTATATATATGGTTCTACTAGTATATGATAAGGTACCGGATACATGCAAAGATAACAATTCATATCTGGCCGGATTTTGTGGAATTCCAGACCATAAATTAATCTAATCAAAATAATAATAATAAAAACAGCGTTTTCAGATAAGGAAATAATCAAAAACGTGTGGCGCGCACTATTTTATCACGAAAAATCTAAACCTGGACTTTTTTGTGAGAATTTAGTTTTTTATTAAAAATTTCTTATGAAACATAATTATAGAAAAGAAACAGATTTGTTTTGAATTTGATTTGCTAATTTTAAGTATGATTTGTAGGCTCGCGCATTTTAGTCGGTTTTTAGCGTCAAAAAGTCGACTATTTTTAGTTGATTTTACATAAATTTAGTCGCCTTTTTAGCTGGTTTTTGCCAAAATAGTCGGTTTTAGTCGATTTTTAAATCTGATTTTTTGAGCCTTAAAATACATGAAAATATTATTTTAATCGATTTTTTTGGATTGCATTAATAAATATCCATTTTTGGAAGCATAAATCACCCATTTTTCATCATTTTCAAATTTCCTAGCTATACAGCAATTATGCAGAACTTTGTGATTTTATCATACGTTATACTGAAAGGATACAATTGCTGAAACCATTGAATTTTCGTAATATTGTATTGAAATATATATTTTGAAGATAGTTGAACATGGTAATTTAATAAAATACATATCTGCAGCCTCAGCACCTCTGCAGAGGAAGAAGCACGAGAAAGGTGCCACGTGTGTCGGCGAGCTGCCGATGCGACTCGGCAAACCAAATAAATGAGCCTGACGCACGTTTAAAAATTAAATTTCCCTACCTTGGAGGCACGGTGATAGTCCATGGTCCGTTTGGGGTCCTCGGCAGGTCGGCTTCGTCCTCCATCGGCTCAAATTCGGCGAGATACGGGCCGCCCATGCACCGAGAGGCGACTTTAGTTTTTGTTGAACTGAACACTTGAGAATCTCCTCCCTCCATCCTGCTGGCGGTGGCCGCTGCTGTTTGGAGCTCGAAGACCAGAGCGAACAAGTCAGGACAGGGATGAGATGAGAGATGTGAGATGTTTCGCGAGAGGCTGGCAGAAAAATAAAAATGACATCGCGCCGGCCGCCGATTGAAAAGATCATAGTGAAACGCGTTTAAAAAATAATCTTCATATTATTTGCAGAAGAGATAGATGATGAAACGAATTTAAGTTTTATGCCTGCCTCTCTCACGAAACATCTCTCATACCTGTCCTGACTTGTTCGCTCTCAAGCTCCAAGCAGCAGCAGCCACCGCCAGCAGGGTGGAGGGAGGAGATTCTCATGTGTTCAGTTTCAGTTCAACAAAACAAAAGTCGCTTCTCGGTGCATGGGCGGCCCGTATCTCGCGGAATTTGAGCCGACGGAGGTTTTCGCCGACCTGCCGAGGACCCTGAATGGACCAGGAACAATCGCCGTGCCCCTAAGGTAGGGAAAAACCGCTATCTAATTTTATTAAACGCGCACCGTGCTCATTTTTTTTACATACATTTGTCACACCGGCCCGTTTGCATATATAATGTAATATAATTAATTTATGAGCTCCTCTCGCGCTTTTGCCTGCCAAGGCTGCCGCGTTTCTCTGATTCCATATTGGGCATTGAGCGGGCTGAAAGAAAAGTCCGAGGCCGATTTTTTTCAATTGCCGATTGAGCCAATACGAGCGCCGAATTTTCGTTCCTGACGAAATGTGTGTTGCTTGGACTGCTTAATTAAATAAATAAATGCGTTAAAATGTTAAAACCATTAATAATTTTACTTCAGGGGCCCTCAAATATTTAATAGTTATTGTTTGATATAACAGCAAAGATATTTTTCGCAAATAAAGAAAAAAATATATAATCAATTCAAGATAAAATATCCAGGGTAAAAAGTCAGAATATAAAATATTCTGTATAAAAAATCATTAGTATCCAACCTGCTAACATAAAATATTGTCTTTTACTTCTCACATTACCTTTACAAAACTCTAAAATAGCATTTGGCGTTGATAATTTTCCCAACGAAAATACAGTCATATGCCGAATCCGTATTATTTCATCAGGGCCTTTTATTCCAAAATTTTCACTAAAACGCTTCAAATAATATGTTCCAGACCGTCCTTCCACGTTTTAACATTTTAATGAAAGCTGATAAAAATCTTGCGCCAACTCGCACGTATTGCAAAAAGCATTTTCCACGAAAAACGTATTTCCGTTATTTTCCATCAGTGCTGGCAAAAATTCATTTCCTCTCCCGTGGCCTCTCTTATTCGAATACCTGTTCGGAAAAACAGCAATAAGCGAGCATTCCGCAGGGCCATTCCAGGGCCAAGGCGGGTGCACCGGGTAGTAAAATGGAGGCTGCGTGTGTTTCTGTGGTGTGTATTTTTATGGGCCACTCTTAAATTCGAGCTGTTCGGCAAAGCGTAAAGTATTCGAACGAACATCATCGCGCCAACGGTTATTGAATTTGAAAGGACATTCAACGACCAGCAGAGCGTGCGGAACAAGAGAGGGAAGAGATCCTTTTTCCAGCACAAAAAGTGTGGAATTTTTATTCCCGTCTCGGCAAAGCGCTGATTTAATTATTCGTTCCGGAGTAAAAGAGATATACAAAATTTCGCGTGGGAAGTTGCAAGAATTCAATCAAGAAGCGCGGTGACAACAACGGGAATTCACAAAACGCTAAAAATCCAATTAGCACGATTTTTCAAGGGAAAATTTTGCCGCTGCGTTGAAAAGAAAGAAGCCAATCTGCGACACAAGAGAAAAGGGAGGACTCAAGTGGGATGTCGGCGCGCAATTTTATTACCTTTTTAATGCTCTTTTGGTCGCAGTTGTTCTGTCATGTGGAGCTTCCGTTTGATCTTTTAATTGAATTACACGACCGCGCACTCGTCGCATAAATTCCGCCACCAGGCCGCTTTTGAACACGGAGACAACTGGCTTTTCCAGATCTGCACCTATCTCGGTGCGAAAAAACTCGAATCACCTGTTTCCAACGTCGGCTGAACTCATCGCCAGTTGTTTTGTACAGAGTGAAGGACTTTTGGTCAAGTGAGTGCCTTTGATGTTTCGCTTCGGTCAAAGGTTACCTACCAAATTTCTCATGAACAGCGGCCCTTCAAATCTGACGCCGGTTTTGTCGCTGCTTTTGTCATGAAATGCCAATTAATTTTGAGTGCTTTGATGATTGAAAATAGAACAAACAGGTGGAAATTCAGCCGTCAAATGAAACCGACTCGCTATATTGGAATATACCGTTATGTTATGGATACAAAATGTGAATAGTAAAACGCTATTTCCCCGTTTGATTAGATAAATCGGTTTATTAAAAAGTTGAACTATTTAAATTTTTGGAATTTGAGGATATTTTTAATTTTAATTTTGCTTATAATAGATTCAGAAAAATGCACAATTAGATCTTTAAATAAAAGTCAAATATGGATTAAAATTTACTTTTGAGAGATTTTGATTTTCAAAATAAATGTATTTGTTTTGAATTAAATTTGAATTTTAAAATTAACATGAATTAAATAATAATATTTTCAAATAAAACTTCTAGTTAACAATTGATAATTGTCTCGTAAAAAGCTGGAAGAAGCAATGAGAACATGGAATGGATTTTTTTTTTTAATTACCAATGCTCCACTAAAGAATTAAAATCCTTTATTTCTAGCATCGTTGATTAGAAATCCAGTGAAAACAAACAGAGAAGTCTGATTAAGTTTTGCCATGGATTCTTTGAACTTTCTCCGATTTCCTCTCACAAGTTCGAATATACGACTCGAAATAATTAGACGTCAGAAGTGAAACATACATTATAATTCTGCCACACACAGGAGAGGTAAAACCTCAAATCCGGAGCGAAACGCGTTCATTATTCGTGGCACGCGGCCTACTTTATGGCAGCGGAGCCGCTTGATGAGGCGAAAAATACTGAAATTCCACAATTCAATTTGCCTCTGCACCTCGGCGGAAAGTCGATAAACGTCTCTGACAAAGCCGAGCCCAGATTTTCCGACCGGCAGTAACAACCCGCGTAAATTCGCGAGAGCTGTCGGAGAGCGCCTGCCGGAATAATTAAGCGCCGGAGAAGCTCGCTTTTGGCGGAATTGTTAATTCAACAGGCCAAAATGCGTGCGTTGTCAATAATAACGTTCGAATGGCGGCGCCCCTAATGTACACGTCATTGTGCGTGCGTGGCTGGCGGAAAAGTAATTATTTCGACTGCTGCGCGAGGTGGATGTGCTGTCAATAAATAATCTCGGCGGAATTATCGCGTCACAAGCAGCCCCGCGTCTCGAGAGTAAAGGCTTGAGTGCTGCTAATGTGGCAAGTCTCTCTCTCGTGTCATCGCAATGCCTCGTCTCTCTCTTCCCGATATAATGAGATGTGGGTTGCCTCAGGTGACTTTTAAGGCGCATAGCTTTGCAATCAATATGAACACTGACGCTCGCTCCCTCGAATAACTCAATAACGACCTCCCAAATCTGAATATTTGATCCCGGCTGAAACAATGCGGGGCAATATCGGAGCAGACGCCGTTTGCTCTCTCCTCTGTCCGGGGTCCTTTCATCCCTAACTCTCTGTGTCACTCGGATTCCAGTCTCCTTTTATTATTTCAGATCATCCCTCTCTGGCAATAAAAATTGAGAAGGGTATTTCATTGAATAAATCTCTTCTGTAATGGTCTTTGAAAGGGTACGCGTCTCCTTTATTTAAATAAGGTGATTCAACTTGCATTAAAAATATTTGAAATCACAGAAGATTTTTTCTAAATAAACAATTGAACTTATTTTGTTTTTATTACTTGTAATAAAATTAATTATTTATCATTCAAAATAGTAGTCCAATATAAGAAACTGTCTCTAGCAAACTGCGTGCTTTTTTTAATAAAATGTAATCCTCTTTTTTCCTGCGGTCCCTTGTAATATGTCGCAGAGTTAATATTTAATCAGCCTTAATAATTGAAAATTTCACTTTCCATAATTCTTCAGTATGCAACCTCATTTGAATTTCAACTTTATTATCTGGCACGATGTGCTATATGCTCTCGCTCTTGTCGCCTCAGGTGAAGAGCTTTCTTCGTTAGAGAATTTTCACCTGCTGTTTTAGGCGCAGAATAATCCACTTCAACGGCGGCGCGCAACCCTTAAGGAAGGGCACTTGAAAGTGCCAGAAAAGTGCGATGGTGAAATCTCAGCATTAACATGGCGTTACAAGCAGAGGAGCACGCGCTCCAAGATAATCTCTTTTTTTTTTAACTCGTAATCTCATCGTGGGGTTTTGCATAGAGTGAGAAATTTGATCAAGATGGTTGAATTTGAAACCAATTTTTATTAATTTTCCTATTTTTTATTAATTAATTTACTAAGTGCAAAAATTTTCATAATAGAAAAACTTCTAATTATTAGAACAAATGATAAATAATCATTCCCATAGCTTATGACAAATATATATTTTTTTAACTTTTTCATAATTTTTGTTCGAATTTTTCTTTACAAATTATTTTTCCTGCATGTTTTAATGAATGAATGGAAAATCACCAGACGGAAAATAAGCCCGGTTTACCGTCTGGTCGAGCACAGCGTCCGGCTGCACTCATCAAAGCCAGCCGTCCCGAAAATCCATCAAACGCGCTGATACAAATAGCCGGCATCAGATATGTGGTGGTGATTTATGCGCGCGCGATGCGAATTTTGCAGCCGGCCATTTTTCTCCCCTGCTCGCTCTCTCGTGTTTTCCCAGACGAAAAAATATTACCTCGATTGTATCATTTAATGGAAAAATGCCTGTGTTTCATCAGCTGCAGTCGCCGCTTCTCTTTTTATTTATTTTATCTCGTGCGAGAATTTGCCTGTTCAGAGTTGTCTGTGAAAAGTCAACGTCATGGATTTTCCTTATCTAGAAAAATTCACAACGCCAAAATAAAGATAACATTCAAGCATCAAGTTCAAGAAACATTTTATTAGAATTAAAATACATAACAATAATTATTGTACCGATTTTCAAATATTTAGCATTTTTTTTGTCTTTCAGTATATTTTCTGTACTTGAAAATTTTTATAAGGAATACTTTATGTCATTGCCTGTTCTTTCACATTTAAAATTATTATCATATTTTGTGCTTTTCAGCTTTGAAATTATGTTTGCTTGAACAAAATAAGCTCCCAGAAATCAAATTAAAGCACAAATATCATTCACATTATTATTCATGTTAGTTTTTTCTAAAAAAAAAGCAGTAACGAAAAATGAAATAATTATAATGATAGTTAAATAAATCCACAAAATAATAAACTTATTCAACAATTTTGCAGAAAATTGGTCTTTTCATCCATTTTATTTGATTGTAAGCTGATATTTATTTTATTTGATTTTATACTTACCAGCTTTTAATAATTGCATTCTAGATTCTCTCATTTGTTTCTCATAAATAATTAAGTA